TGTCACCTCACCCATGCCATTGGGGAAATGATGTGAAGTGAACCTGGAACCTCTTCTCAGACCTTAGTTCTGGCTCTCGGCACGGGTGGTCGGAACCAAGAAGAAACTTGGCTTGTAGTAACTTTCCATTCCACACACATTGATCGAATATAAAGAGAAATTTTAGAATAAAGAAGATTAGCCCCAAAGTTAAGCAAAGGCAAAATTAATTTGTCTTGAATACATGCTCACCTCCTTTTGCCACAGTTCACTGGGCACTGAGCAAAGCCTCTGTGTCCCCATGCGTGGGGGGTGGGGGGGACTGGCTTTCCAGCGAAGTAGCTTTGTGTCCTAACGGCCTTGTCGTTCACCTCTTCCTCAGCCACGGCAGCGTTCCTGGTGTCTCTGTACATTAAGGACGTCTGGCTGGGGGCTCAGCGGCCGGACACCCTCCTAACCCATGTCCGAATGATCTGTGACGCCGCAGAGGACACGCCAAGGGGTGACGAGGAGGCCATCGTCATCCTCTGTAAGAACATCGCCGCCTCAGTCCCCGACGCCTGACGCCCTGCCATCTGACGCCTTGCCATCTGACGCCTTCTGGCCCCAGGTCCTAGAAGTTTGGTTGAGTCAAGGGTTTCCATGCAAGCCTTGTATGATGACGAGTTCTGTCTGTGTCAACTCCGTTTCCTGACGAGCGGAGTTGACTTATTTAATTCACCAGTAGGTACTAAGCTCAAGGGACTGTGTGCACACAGCGTAATCGGAGCTGCAGTGGGCGTGGGGCCTTCCGGGCCACAAGCAGGCTCAGTGGTCAGGTAGGTAAGCCCCGCCTCCCAGCTTCGTGCTCTTCAGAGAATATACCTCAAGTCGAGGTAACACTTCTGAGCCCTTAAGGGATTATGTGCATATTAAAGCTAAAATGTCCAAGAACGTAATACGTCAGATAAAGAGTGTGAAGAGAGATGTTTCAACTTTTCTTTCCATGAGAAGTCTTACAAAGCTTTGTATAACTTTTTGAGTGAATGAGCTCCTGCCGGTGTTAATTATTTTACTATGTAAATTCTTACAGTATAAAATCGATTTGGTCTCTGCTTTGGAAAGAAAGCCTGTATTTTTTTTTAATTGTTTCAAGGGGGGGGATTTGGGATTTTATAACTTGTTAATAAATGTCTATTTTTGTTAGGCTTTTGTGTTTTGCTTAATTGGTATTAACAGACCCTTTCATTTCACAGAAACCTGCATTTTAGAAGTCAAGATTTGACTTTTAAGGTTCCCACGTTAATTGGTGCAGCAGCTGACAAACCCCGGGAGAATTCTGGCGTGTGCACTTAGTGCCCTCAGAACTCTGCGTGTGCCCACATCCCTCCCGCACAGCGTGGCCCCCTCGGGGGCGGGGCGGGGGCGGGGGGCGCTTGGCCACGGTCACAGGACTGCACAGTGGTCTTCCCTGTCCGTCGGCCCCAGCTTAAACGTTGACACTTCTCTGTTCCTGCAGTGTGCCTTAGACTCGGTTCTGGTGGTTTTTCATGATTTAGGATTTTTAACCAGGATAAGAGTAATGCCTGTCTGCCTCCAGTCCCCTTAGCGCATACGGGCTCATTGTTTAGAAAGCAGGGAGTGGCTGCCTCCCTCCCCCCTCCCCCCCACCCCCCACCCCTCACCCCAAACAACTGCAATAGTGTTTTTTGAGACCATTCCTAAATCAGAATCCTGCATTTAGATTCAAGTAGGAGAGTCCACGTGTTCTTTCTCGCCCCTTTTCCATGTCTCTTGAGCTCATTGGTCTCCCCTCCCTCGCCTCCCTTTCTAACCCACCGCCCCGAGTCAGGTGAGGCCGAGCCTGCCCCCATCTGGGGGATTTGTCAGTCCACCGCGCTGGCGTGGGTTCTGTGGGCTTTGTACTTTGGTGCTATCTCCAGTGTACTTCGGAGGGCTCAGACCAGAGGGCCCGTAATGTCACCTACATGGGACCCATCCTACCAGCTCAAAGACGTGCTGAGACAGCATTCCAGTGCAGACCCTCTCCCCTTGGGCTCTGTCTTTTAAAGGATTTGGGGAGGTCAGGAGTATGACTTGGGTCCCTTGACCACAGTCAGTGATGCTGGCAGGGCCTGCACGTCCCTGCCGTGGTAACAGTGGGCGACAGTGGGGGATGGGTAGGAACTTCAAAGGCCTTCCCTGGGTGTGTCCAAAAGAAAGTTCCGACTTTCTTCCAACCCGCATAGAACTCAGGGTTGATAAATATTACAGCAGTATGGGGTGCCTGGGTGGCTGGGTGGGTGAAGCATCAGACTTGGTCTCAGTCCTGGGATGGAGCTCCGCAATGGGGCTCCCCGCTCAGCAGGGGGTCTGCTTGTCTCCCCCTCTCTCTGCCCCTCCCCCCATGCATGCACTCTCTCTCTCAAATAAATAAGTCTTATAAAAAAGCTATATTACGGCAGTAATAGTTGAAGCTAAAAAGTGGCCCAATAAAGATTAGCAAGCAAATATTTTTTTTAAATTAATTCACATATGTTTTATTTTCTACCCTTCCCAAAGTGAACATAAGAAGGAAGTATGCAGGTAAAATGCACTGGAAATCAGCACTATCTGGGGCTACTTCCCTGTGCTGGGGGGTACTGCGAGCCCTGGATAATGCGTACTTGTGCCCCCTCGTAGAGTACATCTTGGCCTACTTGCACTTCCTGCTGCATGGGAGCAGGCTTTCCGAAGGCGTCTGTGTGTCCAGGTTAGTTTGAGTTCACCAATTTGCTGGGGTCAGTTCTACAGTTGAGAGGTTCTGTCTCCAGGGGGCAGCTCGTCCCACTTGTTCCTGATGTCAGCTGATGCTGTGGGGGGTCCCCATGGACAGCCAGTTCCCGGAGGAGAGCAGGGTGGGCCTGGGGGGCAGGGTGGGGCAAGGTGGGGGGGCTCGTGGCCACCGCTGCTACTCAGGGCTGCATGCTCTGCTGCCTGGCTCTTTGCCCGAGCTCAGTGGAGCCTGTGGGGTGCCTCCGGAAGCAGAGGGGGAGGTGGGGGCTCTTACTCCAGGGGCATGTTGGGTGGTGCTGGGCGTTGTTCCTGTGGACAGAGCAGAGGGGAGGCAGGCATCAAAGCTGGCGCAAGAACTTACTGGATGCTTTCCTGTTGCACCGTCCTGCCTGCCCAGAACCCACAGAGAAGGCATCACAGGGCAAGAGCACCTCAACAGCCCAGCTCACAAAGGTCACCACTGTGGAGAAAGGGAAGATACTAAGCAGTGCTTGATGGTGACCTTGACCCTCGGTCATTCCCTCTGAGGTCACTTCTCCCTCATTGTCCACTTATGATGGGGAGCAGGCAAGTGGACCTTCCATCCAGCTACCGGAGTAGATAGCTCATGTATCTATGCCTCCAGCCAAACTTGTGTCTTAGCTAGAAACCCATCCTCTCTGGACGCCTCTCCTGAACGTGAGGTGTGGGGGCGGTGGGCACACCCGCCTGGCATGAGCTGGCCCACCACGTCCCACCTGCCTTCCGATTCATCAATGAAATGGGACCATCATCTGCTCTTAGTTATCATCAGGATAACATGAGGCGATGCCTTGGTAGAGACTCAGCTAGAGAACTAGTTTCAACTAGTTCTAATTCTAACATGAATGAAGAGGGTCAGTAAGGGAGCCTGGTAGAGCAGAGCCCTCCTTTCAGATGTTGCTAGCATAATATTTTTAAGCATAGAAAGAGCAACTCCTCAGGGAGCCACTCAGCATCTCCTTCCCAAATCTTACAGTAAGATCCATTTGGCTTCCCTGAGCATCCCATGCCCGTTAAAATGTCTGGAGAGTGCTTTCTTTGGAGTCAGGGCGAACAGCATCATCCATTTGCCCCGTAAAATTGTAGCCCTGAAAGACATGCAAGATTCCTCAGCTATGGCCTCCTGTGAGCCCACTGGACCGGGGAGCTTTCCACTGGGGAGGGTACTGACCATTCTTGCAAACTGTCCCCAGCACAGGGCTGCCTACAAGTCCCCTCAGAAGAGTGCGTTCATTTACCGGTCCCCCCACCCAGGTGCCTCTTGGGATATAAATCTGCTTAAGTTCAGTGTGAGTTCTTAAAACTAGACAAAAAGAATGGATTTCTTCATTGCTCAAAAGCTGGCCCCTGCCTCCCCGTGTGACCAAAGGGAACCAGAAGTGACTTGTGAGCCACTCTGGGCAGGGCAGGGTGGAGGCAGGGAGACAGAGCCCCCTTGAGGTAGATCTGGACGTGTGCAGATGTGCAGGTCTGCCCTGAACCAGCATAGGGAGCCCACCAGGTGGGGGGGGGGGGCACCCTCTCTTCTCTGCCCTCCCTCCCCTCCCTCTCCCAGAACAGCTCTGCTTGACTCTCTGTTGCCAGCTTCCTCTGCTGACTCGTGGTTTCCACTCCCCCAGACTGCTTGGTCACTGATGGCCTCCAGCCCGTCTTGCTCCTGGACCACTCAGCGCTCCCTGGGCCCAGCTCTTCTGTCAGGCCATGCGTTTCAAGGGGCTTTGGGCAGGCCCTCTTGGGTCAGTTGCCCACCCCTGGTCCCATCAGCTGAGACAGAGAGAGAGGTAGTCTAGGGTCCCCAGCTAGAACATTCATTAGGACAGCAGTAGCTGTTGGGGGGCAGATTAAGCTAGAAGGGGAGATTGGATATGGTGGGCCAATTGTCTAGCACAGGAGACCTAACCTATAATGAGCTAGGTTAATTACTAGCTAATTACTGCTTGGAGCTCCTGGATTTTACCTCCAGTTTAGCTACTAAGGCACATAGTAGGTATTCAGTAACAGATGGTGGTCATAGATGCCTACGTTTGGGTCCCCTTTTCCTGGCGAGTCGTTTGGCAAGACCTAACTGCTATGGGGGGTCATTTTGGCTTTATTTTCTTTAACAGCTTAATTGAGATATATTTTATATACAGTAGTTCGGCCGTTTAAAATGGAAAATTCAAAGATCTCCAGTATATTCACAAAACTGTGCAGCCATCCACACAATCTGCTTTAGAATATTTTTGGCATCCGAACAAGCAGCCCCAGCCCCATTAGCAAGCACTAATCTGCTTTCCGTCTCTATAGAGTTTTATTTATTCTAGATGTTCCATATCCATGGAATCCCCCAACACGGGGGCCTTTTGTGTCTAGCTTTTTTCACTTGGCACAGTGTCTTGGAAGTGCATCCGTGTTGGAGCGGGGATCCATTCCTTTTTGTGACCGAGTAATATTCCACGGCGTGGCCTGCAGTCACTGGCTCGTTAGCCCCGGGACTTACCTGCGTCGGCACCCTCTGTACTCACCTCGCCTGTGAGGAGCCTGACCAGGACATGTAGAGCAGGATGAGGAAGAGAAGCATGACGAAGAATGCCAGGCTCGCCCAGAAGGTGATGACAATCAAATCTGTGGGGGGGGGGGGGGGTGCATCTCAACATCCGCGTGACGCCACCGGAGCCCGCAGCCAGGGGAAACAGGGCCCTGAGGAGAGGCATTTCTCCCCTCTTCCAGCCTCTCCCAGCCTCTCAGCCGTGACCAGTGGGAAGACTTTTCCACGAACAGTAACCTTGGGAAGGACCAGGGCAGCAGGGAAGTGACTTTTTCCCTGAGCAACGGACGGCAGGGTTGCTGAGGGAAAACCAGTCCATGAAATTGGGTGGCACCCCATGGATGTGCTTTTTCAGCTCCTGGTGCTCCCCTCCTTCCCCTTCTCCACAGAGGGAGAAGAAAGGGCTGTGGGCAGCTCATGTGACAGCCAGCCTCCCCTCCCCTGTGAGGGCAGCAGAGGCCTGGGGGAACTGCTCCATCAGGGGCAGCCTCAGAGACCCCAAGACTCAGAGATTTTAGGAGGAGGTGAGTTCGACTAGGGGGCTGGAACCCTCCTGTGGTGGGCAAGGCAGACTTTTTTAACCGAGGCCTCACTGCCCGCTTTCTTTCAGGGGCACGCACCCAGCTGGGGGGGCAGTGACAGGAGGGAAGATCCCCTGTGCAGCCGGCCCTGGGCCTAGATTTGTGGCCAGAGGCGGAAGGGGCAGGGAAACTGGGAATCATACTTCGCCTTTTGGGGGCTCTGGGTAGAACCTGGCAGGCCAGGAGGCACTGTTCTCCGGGGCTCCAGATCAGGAACATTCTGCAAGTTGCCAGGCGCTGTTGCAATACGGTAGTGTTTCTTGGTGGTGGATGATGGCTATGGGCACAGCTCACCGGGCTCATAATTAGTGTGTGCGAGTATCTTACCCCAGACACACTCCTGCCCCCGGGCCCAGATGCCCCCAGCTGGACCTGCTAGACACCTACACGTGTGAGCAAAGGAGGCTACTGCAGGGTCATCACCCCACAGGAATTTATTAAGCACCCACTCAAGTCAGGCGCTGCCAGGGGCTGTGAAGGATTCGGAGGGGACCACAGTAGCACAGCAAAACGGCCACCCCCTCTCTCCTGCATGCTCCTCCCCTACATCCTCCTCTGAGCTCCTGCCCAGCCTTGTGCTGTGCTCTGTCTTTTTTTTTTTTTTTAAAGATTTTATTTATTTGATAGAGAGAGACACAGCGAGAGAGGGAACACAAGCAAGGGGAGTGAAAGAGGGAGAAGCAGGCTCTCCGTTGAGCAGGGAGCCCGATGTGGGGCTCGATCCCAGGACCCTGGGATCATGACCTGAGCCAAAGGCAGACGCTCAACGACTGAGCCACCCAGGCGCCCCTGTGCTGTGCTCTGTTAAACAAAAAGATGTTTAGGAATGGGTAAGCACATGAGGAAACGAACAGAAGGACAGAATGAATGGGGTGTTAGTGATTTGTGTGTCATCTACACAGAGCCAGGAAGTGAAGGCGCCGGGGGTAAATAATGACACTTGAGTAAAGGGTGTCACCTCTACTCTCCATGACCCAAGACAGGTAGAGAGAGAAACCAAAGGCTTGTTAAGAGTTCATCTTAGACTTGACAGCACCAAAAACAGTTATAGGAAGAGATGCCGTACTCGCTGAAGGAATCAGAGCCCCCACTACCTTGTAATGAAGCATCAGCAACTTAGCGTCCACGATCCAGAAAGACAAGGACAACAAAGACCCCCAGGCTGGCTCCCACATCCTCTCTCCTCTCTGTCCCTGAGCTGAGAAACGGACGGTGGCGCCCCAGAACACTGACCGGTTTTAGGGGGTGTATGGGCTCCCGGGAAATAGGGAAGGAGGTTGTTACTGTCTGTCCGAAACTGAAGGACTTTTGAAAGGAGGCTCTGGAGTTCTCAGCATTCCCTGACTGCTCACCGCCCATTATTCTAGAACACGTGCTTCGGTTCCACCAGCTGGTCACAATTTATTTTATAACCCTCGAAGTGGGACAGTATAAATGCTTTCAGAAGGTTTGGTTTTATTCTGTAAGGATGTTTTGGATTTAGGCAACCACCACTGCTCTATCTCCTTCACAAAAATCATACAGGGTGGGGCGCCTGGGTGGCTCAGTCGGTTGAGCGGCTGCCTTCGGCTCAGGTCATGATCCCAGGGTCCCCGGGATCGAGCCCCGCATCGGGCTCCCTGCTCGGCGGGGAGCCTGCCTCTCCCTCTCCCTCTGCCTGCCTCTCTGCCTACCTGTTCTCTCTATCTCTCTGTCAAAATTAAAAAAAAAAAAAAAAATCATACAGGTGTTGAGATCTTCAGCACCTAAAGAAGTTCCGTCGGGGCCTCTAAGAAAACAGCTTCAGAAGTTCAGCAGCTGAGACACAACCCCCCCCCCTTCTCCTGGGCTCACACGCGTCTGCTTAGCCCTTGGTCAACTATCCCCACATACTGAGCAGGAAATGAAGCAACACCTTCCACAGAACACAGTGTCTTCAGAGAAGTGAAATTTGAATTGTTTTCAGACCAAGAAGGCGATCAGTAGCCACTGGCCATTTCCTGTACTAAATTCTCTTTCCTTGTGTTCTGCTGAAAAAGATAGCCAAAAAAAAAAAAAAAAAAAATAGGGTTCTTTTTCCTCTTCCTACTGAAGATTCGGTCTAAGTGCTCGGAGAGAACATTTCATTCCAGGGCAAATGATGTCATCCACCAGGGCTGGAAATGTTTAAACATCCCTGAGGAGCACCAGGTTGGCTTGACAAGGAAACTGGTCCAGCCATGGAAAACTTTCCTCCCCTCACCCGTCCTCTTCCCCTCCCTTCCCCTCCCCTCCCCCCTCCTCATTTACTTCCTTTTTCTCCTCTCCCCTCTTCCCTCCCTCCCTCCTTCCTTCCTTTCTGAGTCCACACTGTGGGAGTTAGGCATCCACGATCGATTGACAAGAAGAGGCTCGAATGGCAATGGTGGGGCTTCACACTGGGGGATTCCTCATCCTACCCTGGAGCTGAGAAAGTAACCGGACCCAGATACTCCCTACTCATAGCAGGCACCTCGGTTTTGTTCAGTTTTGTGAACTGCTAAACCTCCGTTTTAGCCTTCCTCCAAATGCTACTAACGTTTGGGTCCCCGAGTCCTGATAGGAGATTAACTCCAAGATTTTTCCCTTCCTGGGGAACAACAACCGGGTTAAGGGCCTAGGCGCTGCAGGTGGGTGGTGTTGGATTCAAGTTCTGACTTGGCCATTTTCTAGCCATGGGATCTCAGGCAATCTGAGATTTTTACACCTTAAATGGGGATGATGGTGTGTGTTAGATAGACTGTTAGGTGGATTAAATAAAATAATATGTATCTATAATGCACATGGCACAGTTCCTTGTTTAATGGTTGTGAAATGATATATAAAAAGAACTAAAATTATTTTTTCTGTTCAGAGGGTATTGGGCAAGTGATATCACTGTGTCCTTCAAGCTCCACTGAAATGTGAATTATGAGTAAAGGTAACTGCAGTATAGACTGCTAGCTGTGAATCCTCATGTTTGCTTACAGGTGCTTTCATAGTAATAGAAGCCCTGCCTTTTGCTGCCTGGGAGAAAGACTACATTTCCCAGACTCCCTTTCAGCTAGATGTGGTCATGTGACAAGGTTCTGGCCAATGAGATGTGAGTGGGGCTGTTCCAGGACAGCTACTGGAAGGCCTCCTGCAGAGACTGCTAGATTTCTAATAACCTTGTATCCCTTCGTAATCCCGTATTACATTTTGCTGGTGGGAACGTGGATGTGATGGCCAGAGCACGGCTTGGAGTGTGAGGATGAGGGACATGTTCGGGGGACGGCAGAGCAAGGAGCCGGAAGGAAGCTGGCTTCTGCGGAGTTCATGGGGCCGACCCAGCACCTGGTCCTGCAGACTTTCGTGTGAGAGAGAAACCAACTTCTCTTGAGCCTGGTACTCTGTTAATTGTAACCGATCTTCTTCATTTGAATCAGTGAAAAGAGCTGACTTTTTAAATGAGCGTACCAAAACTTACAAATCCAAATGAATGCTGACTTTCACAATAATCATCCTCTATCATAGAGGCATATAAATTTTCCTAAAATACATATCTTAATTAAACATTTATAAACATTTACCAAAGATTCATAAATGTTTATAAATTATTCTTTGGGAATTATCATCAAGGACACACACACACACACACACACGTTTTGCTACTTTGTAAAATCATATTTTATTTTCGACACCCAGGCAGCACCAATCAGCTCAATCATCCCTTCCATTCACCTGATTGGTTTATGGGTGATTCTAACTATTTCCCCAAAGCAAATCCACCCTCAAAAGAGATACATAGTTTATCACTGTAGATGTCCCATAGAACATGCTGTCACTACCAAAGTCAGTTCCAAAAGAAGAGCCCCAAGCGGTTTTTGAGCAGTAATGGAATCATTCGCGAATGGAATCATTCGCATGGAGCACCTCTAGGTGGGGCTACCTCGATGGGAAATTCGTTCCGAGGTAAACAGTCTCATATCTTGTTTAAAAAAAAAAAAAAAATCACTTTCACCGCCTATAACCTATCCATAGGGCTGACCGTTGGCTGAAGAGTTACAAGTCTCGGTTTAAAGTTGTAATATAAAATTGGTTGCTCTGATGTGAGAAAAGAGTTACACGTAGGTCTTCTGCTCTGTCTTTTCGCTGAGTTCTCTGCCTTGTGTTCAGAAGAGATGGGTTAGTGGCATGTTTCTGTTCTTCCTCTCCCAGCTGTGGGAGCAGCAGGTGAACAGACCGCCTTATTACTGAAGCTGCCAGAGCCGGCACATCAGTGGAAGTCGATACAGGCTATGACAGATTTTTCCTAAGCCATAATTAAAGGAAGAAGACATACTGACCGGAGAAGTAAATAATAGCGCATGAAAGCCAGACACTACCCAAAGGAAATCAATGCATCTTGCTGCTTCCTGCAAGGGAGCATCAGAGCTGTATCTGGAATGTATACATATAATTCATTCAGGCAGAGCCTCAAGAAACAGATTTGCCTTTCCCACCTTTTTGACAGTGTTGGGGAGATTCTTAACCTTTCC